TTTTTTTTTTTTTTTTTTTTCCCCCCCCCCCCCCCGTAAAATAATCTTTATTTACAAATAAAGTCCATTCGTTTGACGATTCTCAATTCCGCAATGTTTTATCAAATAAGGAACAAGATCGATCAGTAAAAAATCCAAGATAGCCAGACACTTATTCGAAGAACTCTAGATTAGATTCTAGAGGTGCGATGAGGTGCTGGATTTTTCCAAAGCGAATTTCCCACGAAACCAATGCCGAAAGTCAACAGAAATATCAATAGGACAACCGTACTATACAAACACGATACGTTACCGCGCGAACTCGCACTGTATTAAGAACTCGTGCTTCTTCAAATGCCGAGACGTGCTTGAGCATCGATTGAACCCCCGATACGCGGTACGAGGTACTCGATATCTTAAATATAAATCTCGGGACAATTCCGGTTTCGATCGAGACGACCGAGAGAATAATCGCTCTGTGCGAACGCGCTGCGTTAGACTCGTGGAAGTGAAATGTCGCGCTTAGAGATCCGTGCGAGGAGAACCGACGCTTAAAGGCCGACTAAGTCCGCGAATTTTTACGGGAGTCGTTCCAGCGAGGTTCTCCGGCTGAATAAATCCGTCGTGGATCGATCTGTAGAAAAATATCGCGCGGCCGATAACGAAGCTGGTGTGCGCGATAAAGCGAGGCATCGCGCGGCGAGGTTCGCCGCGAGCGAACGAGAGAGCTCCGTCGTTCGCTCGCTCGCCGAGAGAGAGACGCGTGGGAGAGCTCGGCGAAGAGGAGGGCCGCTCGGGATCGGATCGAGTCACAGCGTCGGTAGCAGTCGCCAGCTGGTCGCCGGCTTGATCTGCTGGTCCGCGCTCGGTGTTCACGCGCGTCCGTCGACGACATCGCGAGAGCTCCTGCTCGTTAGCTCCGGCCAGCTAACCGTGGACCGTACGAGCGCCGCGGGGCCTCGTCGATGCGCCGACCTCGCGAACGCCGTCGTGAGCCTCGGCCCTCGTCACAGCGCGTCCTCGGGACGCGTGGCTGGTGGTAACGAGCCGAGAATCGAAGACGAGGAGGGAACGGCATGTCGTCGGTCTTCTCGAAGCTGGTCGACCGCGCGTCCGCGCGCTACAACATCGGCCAAGAGACGCTGACGCGCGGCATCGTCGGCAGCGCGATCGCGCTCTACCTGCTGAAGCTCGGCTACCCGTATTTGGCGGCCAGCGTGAAGCGGCAGCTACTGCGACAACGTCACCAGCGACGGCAACAACTACGGCAGCAACGATGTCAGAAAGGAGATGGAGATCCGGAGAGCCACCGCAGCGGTGAGGTCTCCGGCCGCGATGGGAAGAACGGTGTACTCGCGCGCGGTACCAGCGAGGTCGCGCTGTCACCGGAAGACGCGGCCGGAAGTGCCGCCGGCGACACCGGGAAACCGTCGGTCGGGCTGGACCGCGCGTTCCTGCGGCAGCTGCTGATGCTGCTGCGGATCATGGTGCCAGGATGGCGCAGCCGCGAGACCGGTCTGCTGGCCTGCGCGACCCTCACCTTACTGGCGCGCACCTTCCTGTCGGTTTACGTAGCCGAACTGGAGGGCCAGATCGTCAAGCGGATCGTTTTGCGCGATGTACAGGGCTTCTCGCACATGCTGGCCCGCTGGTTCGCCATCGCCCTGCCCGCCACCTTCGTCAACTCCGCCATCAGATACCTCGAGGGCCGGCTGGCGCTTAGCTTTAGGTATGACTTCCGACGATTATCCCGACGGATATACACGGTGGCCGTTTCGAGCGCACTCGGCCGACCCGTTCTTCCTTCTCTCTCTCTCTCTCTCTCTCTCTCTCTTCCTCTTTTCGTCTTCCCTTTCCCTTCTTCCTTCTCCTCCTCCTCTTTCTTCCTTTTCCCCTTTCCGCTGTGTCTCTTCTTTGTTTCATTCATTTTGTCTCTTTGTCTCTTCTTCCTCTTCCTTCTTCTTCTTCTTTCTTCATCTTCCATCTTCTTTCTTCTTTTCCTTTTTCTTTCCCTTTTCTTTTCTCCTTCTTCCCTCTTCTTCTTCCTTCCCCTCTTCTTTGTTACCCATTCCCTTCTTCTCCCTCACTTCTTCCTCTCTCCTTTTTCTCCCTGCTGCTATCCTTTTACTGTAAAGTCTGGACATCTGTTTGTTCCAACTATTCTCCGTGTCTGAGGAAGAGCGAATGTATATTTAGGTTTGAGAGGAAGAAGGATCTTTCCTTCCTTCAGAAAGGAAGGAGAGTGAGACGAGAAGAGAGAAGGAGGAAGAGTGCGATCGAATCGATCTATTCGTCTATGCTCTCCCCGCACAGAGTCTAAGACGAAATAAGGGATATATTTGGAGCAGAATCGCAATAAGATCTGGCGAAGAATTGGACGACCGCCAGAAACGCAGAGCGCGAAACTCGTTCATGAAAGAAACGTCGTACATTACCGCAGAAATTACTCAGCAATCAACCGATTTGTTATTAAATCCGTCTAAGAGACAAGTGACCAGTACCGCTGTATATCACTTTTCTTCTGCACACTAATTTCTATTGCACAAGTACTGAAGAATCGAAGACGATAGCATCATCAGATTCGACGATATTAGAAACTTCAAGCAAATTGACCAGGGGTGCCGGTCGGACTTGTTGCGGCTCTGATTCGGATCGCCTAGACGAAGAGAGAGGAAAAAAACGGTTGGAAGGTTCACCCGAGACGAATGAGCTCGTTGTCCAATTGTCAGAGCCGTAGCAAGAAGCGTCGACTGGCACCTCCTCGTATAGAAAAGATTTCTGCTTCTCGACATTGACTTGATCGCCACCGTTGTTTTCGAAAAATAATCTGAAGTTTGAATTTTTACGAGTCGCTTAGTGCGAGAAAGTGCGAAAGAGAGAAAGAGAGAGAGAGGGAGATGAAAGAGAGAGGGAGAGAGAGAGAGAGAGAAAGAGAGAGAGAGAAAGGGGGAGAGAGGGAGAAAGGGAGAGAGAGTTGCGTGGACATCAGCTGTTTTGCTTCTACTGTTTATCTTTTTCCTTTTGATGATGATAAACCTTTCATATTTCAACGACTAGTTTACCGAGTTCTTCTTATGTGCTTGTTCATTTGCACAGCTGCAGCGTAGCCGATCGCGAGTTGTGCACAATTAGAATTGCAGTCACCGGCTTATTTTGCAATTGAGAAATATTGCTCGCGATAATTAACACGAAGGAGACTGATATTCCGCTATCTAAGACTTAACGATTTGCATTCGCAATCGGGACGCGATTACGGAGCGAATTGACGGTGTCCTTTGAAACAAATGAGACGGACATCGTCGATGCGGTTAGTACAAAATACCGTTACGCCGATACTTGTCCCTTTTGGGTACCATTCTTTCACGTTACGGTGTCAAGGCTCTCGCGTGCGACGAACGTTTCGCGTCCCTTTCTTAGCTGATGCGCTTTGTCCTCCTCCTTTCTCTCTTCCTCTCTTTGATACAGGAACTACACCGCCATATACCGGGTGTTCCACCAGATCTCGCCACTTTAAGCGGGTAGAAAATGATTCCTCGGCAATAATGTAAAATGGAAATGCAAGATCAAATCTTTTCCAACACGTTCTTCGATATATTTATATATTTATAATATATACATTTTTTATACATTTTTATATTGTTTTATAAAAATATATTACTAACATCTATTTTTTGATTTGACGAATTCATCTAATAAACTTACTTATTAAAAATATATATTATTGATATATTTTTATAAAATATATATAAAAATTTATATATTTGCTCAATATATTTAATTAAAAATTTAATGTTTTACAGTAATCTTATATTTTACATTCGTGCAAAATCGAACGTCTCACTATAATTTCTAATAAGTTTCTTCTCCATTTGATTTACGCAGGGAACGTCTGGTAAAGTACGCATACAAGATGTACCTGAGTCAGCAGACTTACTATAGGGTATCAGCTTTAGACACTAGGCTCGGCGGGGCCGAGCAAAGACTGACGGATGACCTATCCGAACTAGCCAGTTCTGTAGCGCACTTGTACTCTAGTTTAACCAAGCCGCTGCTCGACTGCGCCTTGGTGGGCATCGCTCTTATCTCCTTCTCGTCTAAAATGGGCGCGAAGACGATACCAGGTTAGACAAATATATCAAAGAATACGAATGCCCTTCTAACAATATTTTCCTCGACCAATCTATCAATTCTTCATTAACGAAAACACCGGATTCTTTCAAACGGCGCAAAAGGATTATGATTTGAAATTTGCCTTAGAAAAACCTTTAAGTCTCTACGTTTCTTATATTTTTTTTTTCCATTGTCAATTTTTCATGATCTATTGAACAGATGGACTCTTTCTAATTATTTCTTCTGAGCATTTCAATTTGCTTCACAGGAGTTCAACTCTTGTTCAATTCTTTGAAGCACCTTTTCTGACGATCTCAAATCCCTCGATGAAAGTTCTTTTTTTTTGGTCAATTTTGTTCCAAGTGATTTTCTTGACGTTTTCAATTTCCTTAGTAAGAGTTTCAATTTTTGTTTAACTCTGTTCCATATACTTTTCTGGAAGATTTCGATTTCTTTAATAGGAGTTCAACATTTGTTGAATTTTTTCCGAATATTCTTTCTAATAATTTTATTTTCTCTCGATAAGAGTTCAATTTTCATTCAATTTTGCAAGCGCATTCCTTAACGATTTTATTTTTCTTAAGTAAAGGCTCAATTTTCGTTCAATTCTTTTCAGAAATATTTTCCCTGACGATTTCAATTTCTTCGATAGGTCCGTTACTGGCGGCGGCGGTGATTACCCTGACCGGGCAGGTTCTGCGCCTCGCTTCGCCGCGATTCGGTCAGCTGGTCGCGGAGGAAGCGGCGCGAAAAGGGAAGCTGAGGGAAGCGCACGCCCGCATCAGCGCCCACGCGGAAGAAATCGCCTTTTACGGCGGCCACGATACGGAGCATCGCTACCTGAACACCGCATACAAATCCCTGGTGTCGCACCTGCAGCGTATACTCGCCGTCAAACTATGGTACGTCATGCTGGAACAGTTCCTGATGAAATACGTGTGGTCCGGCACTGGCCTCCTCGTCATCGCTATGCCGCTGCTCTACAACACGGCGGTATCGACGAGAACAATCTGCGAGAACACTGACGGTACGTGATAACACCGACAGCGGAACTACAAACATCCAAAGAATATTATGACCTGCTTTTCAGCTGCATACTTAATTTCATAGCTATTTACTGGAATAAAATTATCATCGGTTAAGTTTTTACACAATCAACGGAAACCAACGCAGAGGTTAAATTATTGAAATTCTCACTTCGTTGTTGCGATTATCTCGAATTTTTACGTCAGAATAACTTTTATAAAATGTGACACAAGGAAATTAATCCACAACTTGTTTAATTCATATTTAGATCTACTCGGAGTCGATCGCAATTACCATTCCATGAATATATATTTCAATTGTATCTCGCACAAATATTTTGCATATTTTTCTGTTACTTTTCTGTTGCTTTTTTATTATTAATACGTAACTATCAAAGTGACTATGACGAAGAAATAAAAACTTCATTAATAATGAGTAATATATTCCATGTCGAAAACATCTGACACCTGCAGTCGTTATCTACCATTATTCGTCACCTTCTAACTAACCGTCCGATTCCACGCTTGTAAAATGACTCATCTACCGAGCCAATCATTCGCGATTCCACAAACTCGTGAAAACCCTCGATATCACTCAGAGAAATGACTTGGTAATAGTGATTAAATTTCACTAGTTCGAATTTTGCTGTCATTGCAAAAAGTTAGATATTAGAAATGAAATACATTTGCTGCTAAAATTTCATTAGCCGAAATTATTAGCATGAGTAGATAAGTTTGATTAGCTGTACTCTCTCTCTCTCTCTCTCTCTCTCTCTCTTTCTCTTTCTTTCTTATATCATATATAAACTATACGAAACACGTTTATATCAATCGATGAAATTGTGTAGTATTTAAAATAAATTGATTCAAAATTGATTCAAAATAATTGATTCACGATCCGGAAGTCTCGGGTTCGAGCCCGTCAGTGCTTAAGATAGTTGGTTTGTCAAGCCATTTTCTTAGGAATCCTTTTAAATTTTAATAGAAATACTATATTAATAGAAATATTATTATGTAAAATATCCGTCTGCAAAGTTAGAAAACTATTCGAAATCATAAATTGATTATTTAGAAACTGAGATATTCGCAGCTGAAGGTGATATTTTTTATACGTGTTCATTGAGGTTTAATAATCTATCTTTAAGTCGATCGCAATTACCATTTCATGAATATATATTTCGATGTATCTCGCAAAAATATTTGGCATATTCTTCTGTTACATTTTTCAGTTGTTTTTTTATTATTAATACGTAACTATCACGGTGACCATGGCGAAGAAATAGAAACAAGGTTTAGGAATACGTTTTAATGGAAAACTACTGTGACATTAAGAATCAATATAGAGACATTATACAACAATTTTAGATTTGTTGACTATCTATTTCAAAAATATAATCATAGCAAATTTACAATTTATAATATACCCGCGATATATGTACATATACTCATATTGAAATATTTACATACTATTTTCTATTATTTACGTATCTCTATTAGCTTTGTCAATAGATATATAAATAAAATATTAATGAAAAATAAATATCCCCGTCTATTGAAAAAAATCTTTTTCAGTACATAATAAATTTATGAAAAGGTCCCTTGATATCGTCACTAAAAATCCAATATTACGAACCAAATCTTAAGCTTGTTTCTCAGATAAAATCTAGCATTAAATTAGGTTTAAGATAAGGATAAGATCTAGCATTAAAATAGCCAAATTTGAGATAAGTTCAGCATAATAACTTAAGGACAACATCTGTTGAAAGAAAGCAATAAATTTCTTATATATCTAATATTTTTTACCGTAACATTTAAATTCAAGTAGCTAATAAATTTGCCTGTGGTAGCATCGACTTTAGCTGTCATTATTTCAAAAACATATTTTATCTGTTACAACTGGATTTTAGCTTCAATGGCTAGTTCTTTCTCTGAATGTACCAGAGTAATTATTAATATGTTGCTCATTAAAATTGTACACTTTCTCAGGCGGCGTGAGCGAGCGAACAAGATACTTGACCACCTCGAAAAACCTCCTGAGCTCCGGTGCGGACGCTGTGGAGCGACTGATGTCATCTTACAAGGTGCCTGTTAATGCCTCTTTATATTTCGTGCCTGTTAATGCCTCTTTATATTTCGTGGATAGATTTAAATTGTTAATCGCTAATCGGTGCCGCTTGTTTGAACAGGAATTGGTCGCGTTGGCAGGCTACGCGGCACGGGTCAGTGAGATGTTGGATGTCTTCAAGGACGCCGCGCTCTGCAAATATAAAAGGAATGTTGTCACGAGCGGCCCATCTAGACTTGCAAACGGTAACACGCAACAATCCGCGGAGAAGATAATCGAGTTCAGCAACGGCACCCCCGTGATAAAAGGTAGAAACACCACATATGTATATAATTAGATACATAAATTAGTTACATATATTTATAATTAGTTACGTATAAATAATTAGTCTGATAATAATAAATTAAATAAATCACACGTTTTACGCGCGTTTACATTTTTAATACTTCGTATTTCAAGGCGAAGAATTTTTTTAAAGCCGATAAGAACCATTACGGGACGATAATAATTGCGAATGATTATTTTGCGGAAGGATAATAATATCTATGAAGGAATTTTCGGTTTTCTCACGGACAATGTCTCAGTTCCCGCAACTGAATAAGGACCGCATGAAGACTTGGCGATAAAAAGTGATATCTTTGTTACCGCGACAGACAACATTCGTGAGAACAATCAGCTGTGTTAAAATTCGATAGAGACATCTGAGAGTAATTGACTGAATAGAAACCTTCTACAGAAATCTTTCTACTTTTACAACCGAGTTTTTCGTCTGAATCGTCGATAGAAACTTTAATTATACTAACACAATTTCTATCCGCGTATAACGTGAGCGGAACACCGATTGAACGGCTCTTATTGTCCTTAAAAATGTTCCGTGATTCCGATTGAATATCTCAGAACGTTAATATGAATCATCGGTATATTTTGATATCAATTTCTTACATCAGAAAATAACCGTACAATATCGAGTTACATCGGAATATAACTACAGAATCGAGATGTAAATTTTGCTTTTACATCGAAACTATATTACAGAAATAGAAGTAGAATTATATTACAGAATATATTACAGAAAAATAAAAATTATACGATTCATTCCATTCCGTCCGTTTTATTGAAACGCGACGCAATCGAATCGTACTCTACATTTTAAAGCGATGCTTTCGAAATAACATCGCGTGTTTCTCTTTGTTCGTTCAACAGGAATTGTTCGCGAGAGCACAGACGGCAGTATAAAGCTGATCGACGTACCCATAGTCACGCCTAATTGCGAAGTTATCGTGCCTAGCTTAACGATCCACGTAAGTCAGTTATTACTGCGAAACATGAATCACCAGTCTTATTACGTGTAATACGGACTCGAGAAAGAGGCATAATGCGTTTGTTTTTATGTCAAACTCTTTTTTTCACTCACTGTCTCTGTAGATCGAAATAAACCTTGGAGAACCGGACTGATCACGACTGATTTACGTTGCAGATTAAGCCAGGTGACCACGTGCTTATCACCGGACCCAACGGGTGCGGCAAGAGTTCTCTTTTCCGCATTATTTCGGGCCTCTGGCCGGTGTACGATGGCACATTGATCAGACCGGCCGAGATGAAGGCCCAGTTCGAGGAAGGTAGACCGGCACTGTTTTACATCCCACAGAAGCCGTACATGACGGTCGGCTGTCTGCGCGATCAAATCATCTATCCGGCGCAGTCCAGGTGAGAATCGTTCGCCTGGCGTTCCACAAATATTCCTTTTGCTTCAACGCTTACTTGTTCCGAAGTAAAGGGAGATCAGAAGTAGATTGTCTGACAATAGTCGTACTTCCCAGCACTTCGCACAACTGTTCGGACGAGGAGCTGCTGCAATTGCTGGACGACGTGGACCTACGCGGCCTGGTCGAGCGCGAACCCGAGGGCTTCGACGCCCTGGGTGACTGGGACTCCACTCTGTCGGGCGGCGAGAAACAACGGCTAGCGATGACCCGACTCTTCTATCACACGCCGCAATACGCCCTGCTGGACGAGTGCACAAGCGCGGTCAGCCTGGAGGCCGAGGGTATAATGTATGAGACCGCTAAGAAGAAGGGCATCACCTTGATGACTATCACGCACCGTGTGGCTTCTCTCGCCAAGTATCACAAGCTGCTACTGCGTTTCGACGGCGAAGGCGGCTGGACATTCGGCCCGTTGGATCAGCAGAACCTGTTGGCACCGCCGAATCGCGAGCTCAAAGTGGAAATGGAGGAGGAGACGAAAACGAACCATTACCAGATGTTGCATGTACGTGAAAAGAGGGATTTCAACAGGCTGTAAAATTACGCGTGACAAAATCATAAAGAAAGCGAACAGAACGTCCAAAATCGACGTATGAGATAACTTGAAAATATCTTTCAGAATTCTTTAAGAAACGTTTCTAAGATGTTTTTGAACACTCTGCTTATTGAGAGCTTAAGAAGATATTAGGTTGTATGTGACGTTAATTTGATATTAATTTGATATTATTTATTGATTGTTAGAGCAAGAAAAAGTTTTCGGAATATTTGTTTCTCGAGATACAAATACGCGCTCAATCGATCACAAGTGTGGACATATTCTTTTATTTTTAATATTTCGCAAGAATTCGGAGCATGCATTTGTCACTCCTGACATCATCAAACAAAACAATTGCAGTGAAGGCTCAGGAGCCTTAATTAAATTTAATAATCTAATTAATTCTTGTTAATTTATATATATATATACATATTTATTTATTTGTTTGTTTGTTTGTTTACTTATTCATTTATTTATTTATATAGTTAATTTATAATGATTTAATAATCTAATTGTTTCGTTAATTTATCATGGATTTTTTCTATAATATACAATGAATTTACTATAATGGTAATCCAAGTAATTTATTAATTTCTAATAATTCTCAATTGATCGATTAATTCATAGTTAATCCATTCCAATTAAAATACAATCAATTTATTAACTTATGATTTTCAATGATTTTCAATGTATATAAAAAAGAGTAACGAGAAAATATTGCGCACATTTTTATGTCATTATAATTGTCTTTGCTCATGTTATCAATAACTTCATTTCGATATTTCTCTTGCAGGAGCTTCGCGGTATACATCCCGAAAACAGCTACGTGGGAATCAGTTGAAGACTATGATCTATAGAAATTTATACAAAAATTTTATGTTAAAGATATACTATATATATATATAAATATAAGATATAAGGTATATAATTAACCTACATATCATATCTATTTTATATGTGGGATATGAAATATATATATACATTTCAAATCCCACATATATATATATAAATATATATATATAAGTTACGCGGGATTGACGATAAAATGAATTGTTGTGGCAATGCGTATAGTTGTATATGTACATATATATATTTTTCCAGGATTTTTCGCTGTACAGAAACGCAGAAAGCTATTTTTTAACCCGATTTTAACATGAGCAGGTTCACAAGTTGCTTAGTTTATCGTAAGTGCCTTAGGAAATAATAATATATACCATAATTACGAAGGAAAAGAAACTTGTTGGCCCCCGAGGGCTTCCACGGCTATAGACGATTTCTCGATTTACGTCGAATATTTTTGATAATGCCGATTAAACGATGAAATGTGCAAAATATAGTGGATGAGAAAGATATTTGTCTACCCGTCTCTTTAGATAATTTTACAATTATTCAAGTTTTGGAACTAATATATTAATATATAAGTATTAATTATATATATATATATATATATATAATTAATACTTATATATAATTATAACTTATATATAATTAATACTTATATATAATTAATACTTATATATAATTAATATATAAGCATTAATTTTTATATTTAAGGCGAAAGTGGACCTTTTAATTCTTATTTATCTTTTATTTTATGTTCTTTTTTAACACCCAGACAACACACATGTCTAANAAAATAGAAATAATATTGCTGAGAGGTTGCAATGTTGAATGTTGAAGTGTAAATATATTTTCAACGTTGAATCTATGTAGGTTTTTTTACATTGATTGTTTATGTTAATACAATATTGAAATAACATTGAACAGATCATTATCTTTTGAAATTCATATAGAATCATTTTGGAACAAAGAAATATAATATATATTTTAATTGTATTAATTAAGAAATAAGATTTTAAGCATAAAAAATTCTAAAAAAATATTTTAATTTTTATGGTTTGTTGGTTTTTGCGGTAATTTGGCATTATATTTGTCAGATTTATTTCCTTTAGTTTAGAAGTAAAAATGGTTTGTCAGTATAAAGGAAGCCGAGGTTAAAAATCACACGGATTAGTTGTTACAAAGCATATATGTCAATAAATAAACAAGGGAGCAATATTGTTCTCTACATATAACCCATACTGCTATACTTAACCCATACTACTATACCTACATATAATCCCCAAAAACCTATAACCGAAATAAAAAAAACTTCTTTTGCCACCTAAACTCTTCTAAGTCACAACACGGTGATGAACAGAAACCAGGAGTTATCGTTAAAATATCCGTGCAATAGGTGAAGACGAAGGTTTACCGGACTTCGCCGAGGCGCCCCTCTTTGGGCAGGTTCCACTTAACGCTCGTAACGATGCGAGCGTCATCGTTCTTCTTCACATGCGTGCAATTTTCGACAGATTAATTGTCTGTGATCAAGTAAACGATGTTTGCGAGATAAACCGTTATTTTCTCGCGCGCGCGCAGCGTGTTCAAGCCTCATTTGCGAAATGGCAAATCTTTCTTGACTATTATCACGCGTCCGAATGGAAGGTAGACCTGCTAATAAAGACTCTTAATTAGTCGCATGACGTTGCGACAACCCCAACCCCTGATTGTGATGTAAAACGAGGTTGTAAATACATCATTGCTCTTTGAGCAATAAATACCGGTGCTGAGACGCGTAATTTACGCAATATGTAATATGTATTCCATATACATTATTATATAATTGTACAATTTATATAAAAGATTTTTAAATCCCTCTCTTGAATTCTTCAATTTTTTGAAGAAGAGTTCTAAAAATTATATAATTATATAAATAATTATAATAACATAATTTTTAAAAGGTTTTTGAAATACTTTTTATAATAACGCAGTAATAACGCTTTTAATAATTAAACCGGGCACCGTGCGAAATGATCAGTTTCGAGCTTCGCGATTTCAAGATAGCAAGAGAAGAAAAAAGTATACAACGGAGTTGTGCGAGTATAATGTGGGCGTCATGTACGCTGTACCATTTCCTAAACCACACGATTTTCAGCCTTACACATAATATAAACACAGTAAAAAATGTGATAAATTGTGTAAAGGCTAAAAATGGCATAATAGTAAAAAGTTTTAATTTGGATAATAATATACCGAAAAATGAGTTTGGTTGAATCTACCGGTCAGTGGACAATTAAACGCGTTTTGGTTGAAGGAAACAGAATTTTTAATCATAAGAACCAAATTTAGCACAGTAAAAAATTATATGTTAAAAACGGTCCATCGACATTTTGTGTCAACATTGATGAGTGTGTTAATTTAACATTGTATTCGTGTACTCTTCAATACATTCCTCGTATTGAAGCACCGCAAAATTTTAGTGGGCCATTTTTAACACCAAATTTCTCACTGTGAATTCATGGGAAGCAGAAATGTTGTTTCCTTCAAAACGCGTGTGATAGTCCATTGCTGATCCAGCCGAACTCATTTTTCAGTGTATCGTTCATGAGTGACACCGGCTGTATCAAACGACTAATTATTTTACCAGGGAATCACCGGAATTTCACTCGCGCTACTTCAGACCAGATCGCTTTTTTATTTCCGAAGTTCGCCAAAGAGGAGAGAAAGGAGAACAGCCAAAAGCTCTCGATCCACCCGTTTCAGCGCTCGCAAGCTCGCTTTCATCCTCTCCGTCGGCGCATCGGCGCCGCCTTCATGGACTCATTGCAGCTGCGGCTGCGGCACGGCTGCAGCTGTTGCGACGGCTCGCGCAGTAATTCGCTCGGTGTGCTCTCGGGGAAAAATTTAATTACGTGTGTTTCTTTGTTTTTGAGAAGGGCGCTCTCGACGGGGCGACAAGGCGGCCGGATGGGGTGGGCGGGAAGGGCGCGCACAAGCGGGGGCGGCGATGCGACGGGGGTGGGAAGACCCGCAATTCCCGATGAGCTTACCTCGGGGAAACCTCGCAAACGCCAAACGTCGATACGCTCGCGAGCCGGGAGCAGCCATCTTGGGGGGTTGCGCGCGGTGTTCCTCCCGCTCTTGCGGACTCTAATGCTCCAAAGCAATTTCGGCGTCTCTACGCCGACGGACGATTCGGTCGGATGATGAGGTAGAATAAAATCGGCCGCGTCGGGGCGATCGACGACGGCGACGGTTCGAGATTGACGCGTGATCGATGACACTTGACCAGCCGTCCGCCACCGGCTAAATTTTGTCCCTACACTGGACACAATACTACCGTTCAAATGATATTTACTTGATCCAAGTGAAATGATTACTCCGATACTCCTTAGCAGGTTTGGGAGAGTTACTTTTGAAAAATAACTCATTGCCGGTTATTCGTTGCTCATCGAAAAAATATAACGCGTTACCGTTACTCACCATCGACTGAAGGAAGCAACTGGTTACCGGTATCGCCGCTCGAGAAGTAACGAGTCGTTACTTTTTCACTAAGTTCTGGAGACTTTTTCAGCATTCGCTTCTGCTCGTTACACATACATACGTATTGTATGTATACAAAGTAACGATGAAAATTAATTCGTTGCCGTTTCAATTTGTTATCGTTTTCTCACCATCTGCTGTCACACATTTGCTGAAAAAAAAGGAAACGGTGACGTGGTTACAAGTAACATATCGCTTCCCGGACATGCTCTCGTCGCGCGTTCTAACGCCCAACAAGAGGGTCTCTCAACGATCCCGCTCTTAATTCCACCGTAAACTCGTGCGTATCACCCGATACATTCGTCCACGACTCGCCAAGGCGATAATACACCTTGCGACAACGGACACGCGCTCTCTCTCTCTCTCTCTCTCTCTCTCTTTCGCGTCTCGAGTTTCTTATTTTCAAGGAAGGGTTGGCGACGACCATTGCAACCGGGTTACGACAACGCGCATCTGCCGGAGGAGAGAGCCGGCTAAGAAAATAAGGCGGGAATCGTCGTGATCGCCGTCGTCGACGGCATGATGAGCACACCGAATGCAACCGTTTCCTCAGGGATTAGGATACGTCCACCTTCCGCCTTCCTCGCAACGCGGCCGCTGTTGCTGATCCCACAGAGGATGGGATGCGTGCTTCGTTCTTGCCTGAGCCCGCCGGCCGAATAGCCGATTGAATTACACGCGGCGCGTGCCAGCCGGCCGCCGCGTACACGCTCGTGTCTCCGCAAGGCGATCGAGCCGAGCACCTAATAAAGCCGCAATCCTATCATTGAGATTCGGCGATAGAGAGGCCCCCCCCCCCCNCCCCCGCGAACGGGACCCCGGGGACGCGTTTCAAAAATCCGCAGAAGCGGGCGCAATGTCGTTGATAGATGTAAGAATACGCGGTAGGTGTTCACACACATAACTTGTGTGCGAGGAAATGAGTCTTTTGTGATGAAGACTTAATAAGGAGGCATAGAGTATAGCGGGGAATGTTAGGGAAAAAATTAAGTAACTGAAGCGCGAAATGTGTGTCGGCGGTGTCCGCGAATGACGGAGGTCATCCTTGTCATACGGAACGTCTCAATCGAAAGAAAGAGAAAGAGAGAGAAAGAGATTATAATATATATAATATAAGTTTATTATACTTCTTCTCCCTCTCTGAATTTTTTGGTCAACTTCTATTCGAAAAATAGAACGAACAGCCGAATAATTCAAAGTTAAATAATGTTTTATTCATACAGAATACTTCTAAATTGAATGATGAATCTGACGTACTCCACCTTTATCGGAACAAAAAGTGAAAGATTCACTCTAATCAATAAGAAACATTCACTCATACGAATTACAAATCTACCCCACAGGTTGAATTAAGCCGATTCATTCTCGCGATTTTGAGTGACGTTATTTTCATTATCGTCGAAATACTCGTTCGATCTGAATGAATCTTCGCTCGGAGATATTTAAAGAGTAATCCAAGCATGAAGGAACGATAATCAGTGCCAGGACAACGTTGGAGAAATACGAATCATAAGCCAAAAACTGGAGAAGAGCCCCGATCCGACACCGTCCACTGGATCCCTCGCAAGTACAAAGGACGCGTATCGTATCTCGCAATCGATACAATGCTGCGAACATAATGAAGTAACCGCGATCCCGGAACGTTTGTCGCGAGCACAGGGATAATCCGCAATAGCCTCGCCGACAAGATAGCCCGCTGTCGTCGCGCGGGACCTTTAATCATGCGGAGGGCACCGCGCCGCTGTCGTCTCCTGGCGCGGTTTAATCACTCAATCGTCGACGACCCGGCAATGTCGATTCACGATGGAACGCTAAGAACGCGGAACATCCCCTTGTTTCTTTTTCCGAATTTCACAAGCTCGTCTCGGTAACTTCGGTAATTTTAGAAACCATGGAAAAACGCAAGCAAATAAGACTTTTAACATTTTGACGGCTGTACTCGTAACTTTATTTACTCCTGTTATTTTAGTGGCTATAAAAGAATG